TATCAATTGATTCTGGTGACCTCTAGAGATAAGACGAAAGAAAGTGAATAAACTGCTGAACTTCGTCGTTAAAAATGCCAAACGCACGAAAATAAAAATAAACATGCAACTTATTTATGTATTTACGACAAAGATTTTGTTGAAGTAAACAAAATTTGTACGGTTATTATAGATCTAACATTTTAAAGCACTATATATGATAGCAAGTTTGGTGATATTAAACGACAATAAGATGTCGCGCCTGTACAAATCATCTATAAACTCCCCCTTTTTTTATTTTGTTAAGTACATATTTTTTTAGATTATTAGTTACAAAAACATCACTCGTGAAAAGTAAAAACATTCAAAGTTAGATATTAATTAGAATGATCGTTAATGAAAGTAGATCAATAACTATCTGATAAGACGATTTAAATTAAGGGAGAAACATGAATTTAATATAACAGAACATAAGTACACTATAATAGTGTGTGTTACCTTATACTACTGCTTTTTATGTTATATTTATAGCACATCAAAAGGGTGAAGTCATAACAATTTCACCAAAAATCATTCAAAACAAGTATCTATACTATCAGATTTTATATTATTCTTAGAATAGTAATTACGCTAAACGAATGAAATTTGTTGGACGAACGTAGTAACACTGAAGACTATTAAGAAAAAATGTATTCTTTTATACAACTTTTTATAGGCTAGTAAATTAAATCCTACATACAACAGTGGTAGAGTACATAAAATCTGATAAATACATGAAAAAGGAAAACATACGAAACGGATGTGACAATGTATTTTGTACTTTCGACAACAAATTATATTAAATTCGTATTACAAGCTCCTTATCGACTAATGGTACAGACACTTTGTGAACAATAAAATTTATTAAATACAAATAATAAAACAAATATAATAATTTAATGTGATTGGTTAAACAATCCATACAGAGGTAGAAGACGAACAAGTACTTCGTTCATTCATACCATTGTAGACACCTCAAGAAAAGGCAATTGTACGAAATACTTACTTTTCATTTAAACAAAATATCACCAAAAATGCATAAAACCTTATTGACAATTTTAAATATGTATTTGGCATATATAGTTACCCTGACACTTTAAGAAAAACCGTTTTCCCAAAGTGAATCGTTGTTCATGGTCAATAAATTTCTTCCTGATGATACATCGTAAAATAAAAAAGTAAGTCTACCATAACATTTGGGGAAACGTTTTACTTTCGGGACATCTTACATTTTCATGTAATATGTATATATAAATAAGAAAGCCACCTAAAAAGTATCAACAATTCTGACCAATTCAACCAATAAAAAAAAACTAGGAGTATTTAAATAATTTTTATATTCTAGCCGTAGTTATATCAACGTCTGATTGTCTATTGACATTATTCGTATCGTTATTATCCTGATTCGTACGAATTGGAAGTCCCATAAATCTGTTTGTACCATTCAAAGTGCTGCGTCTCGACCTGACCGAACTGTTATCGTGAACCTTTATTTCATTATATCTGAATAAACCGTCGCCAGGGGGGGGTAATGAATTTTTCGTCGTTTTGTACCACCACTGATACGTGACGTACCATGTTAAAATTGCAGCCACGCCGCCGAGAAACTTTTCAATCATAATATGATAATAGAGCAACGTGGATATCAACATAATGTCCCACAATAATTGCTGTAGCGTCATTGCAACGAAAAGGCCTCTGAGATACGGTGTAAGAGCCTTGTGCGCCTTCTTCAAGAATTCTAAGTCATTGTTCGACAAATTCCGGAGTGGTCCGTTGTTAGGTTCGTTCGGAGTAATTCGTGAATGTTCTTCCCGCATGATTAAATCTTTTATACCTTCCCATCCGACTAACGAAGAGCCCTCTTCCGCTAGAATTAAACTTGAATAGATTAGGATGAACGTGTGTCCAGATATATCTAGACCACTCCAAAATCTGCCAGACTGAAGGCACTTTGTTTTCGTTTGTAGTTGTATGTTCTTCGTGCTGAGGCATCGACCATAATTCGTTTCGATGTAGTTAAACAATTTGATCCATAATAACCATGCGATCGTCGCTAGACCCAGCCTGGCAAGATTCTTGAGCAAGATGGACCTACGGCCGCAACCGAGAGTGTGCGCAGTTAATGCAACCCATGGAACAGTTACAGTCAGCAACCACCCCCATCCCCACTTCACAAAATATTGGTTTAGCGCGTTATCTGAACGCGAAAAATATGTTCTTGGCATTGTCATAAAGTCTGCTATGATCGATACTACAAATATCGCACCGCAATATATAGCAACCTTGAGTCTTGTATCGAATAATAATGATTTCTTGCAAACATGTAAAAACATCGTTACGAGAATGAGACCTATGGAACTGGGGGCAGCGGTCGGTCGAGTTCCGCCTCTGTCTTCTTGTGACGAATTTGGACGAAAATTCAAACGACTCGACCTTATATTACTCGCCGTTGAGCCAAACATCGTGGAACTGCCAAGCGTACTGTGCACACTTCTTCGCTTCCCCGTAGCCATCGTGTAATCAGTACAGTACAGGTTATCGCACATACATACGTTATTATTGGTACTTCCAACACGCGTTACGTAGGCGCATGTTAAATTATTTTCTCTTACACAATCGGGGTTATTCTGATATTTTAATTATACGGATCAGCTGATACAAATTATCAGCGGAGTCACCACACACTGTATGGAACACCCGTTACTCAAAATAGTACTTACACTGTGAGCAGTACTATACAAATGTGACCCACTCTGATTTGCACTGTCATCCATGGTCAACCATCCCCACTACCGTTTCGTGGAAATTAATTCAAAACTCGATGTTGGTTTTTGTTACGTTTCGTCTACTTAGGTATAAAATGTGTTAGATAAGTTCATAGAATTTCAAACGATGTTTTTGTTTAGTCCGTAAAACGTTGGATCTTGAATTTTTCTGGTCACAGGGGAGTTTGTTTTGTTACGTTCACAAAAATTTTCATTTTAATCCTTTTATTTCGAGAAAGAGAATTATACATTTGAACATTCAACAAAATGTAATGTCTTTAAGAAAATACAATATACACAGTCGTCTGTAATTAGTACCGTTTATTTTAAGGTTGGTATACTTTCATTTGATAATGAAACAATTTTTACAATAAATCAAGGGAACAACATTGTACTCTGGAATGATAAATAGTAAATGTATAATAATTTATAAATACATAATTTCAAGGTAAAAAGAATACAATAATATAAATTTGACTAGAGTTAGATTTTTATTTACTATTGAATTTTTTATGATATTGCACTAGCATTAGTATGCGATAAGCTCTATTCTTTGTAGGAAACAATTCATTCAAGATGAATAATAGATTTACACAAAAAAATATCTCACACGCACTACTAAGTAATGTTAGAAAAGGAACTTTGCTATTTTTTTTTCTCAGGACTTTATGAAACATACGTGTAATATGTTTTCTAATAACATACGAGCAGTTTTGCAAATTTAAATTTTATGCATATGCTCATGATTCTTCTATATAACTTTTGCAAGGCACCATTGAGAGTTCGTTTTAAAATATGTAGACATTAACAATGGCCGCTTAGTATGAAAATTATCTTTTGGAAAATGTTCTCGTAATAAATTAGGCAACCATGAAAATCATTGCTTCGTTACTGTTAATGTGTTGACTAGTTCTAAGAGATTTTATCCCCAGTCATTGCGAGTAATAAATTTACTTAAATATATTCACGAAACATGCATACGCTTTCGTTTCGCTTCGTTGTTGTTTATTAGATTTACTTTTGTGTGGTGAAGCTGGAGTAATGTATTTTGAAACAAGTGTAGCTGCTAGGTAAAAATGAAAATCATTAAACACTTATGCGTGGCAAACTAGTCACGATTGAGTCTAATTTTACAACTTGCACCTTAGATGTTAAGACGTTCGGTGATTCTACATTGTATGAAGACCAATACGTTATTAATTCTGGGAATCCATCTTCACTTATATAATCAATTTTGATCGAACTGAAACGTGCACGCGAATTCAAATTTGGTTGACAATCTGAGTCACGACATAATTGAGTAATATCACTTTGACTTGCATTCATAACTTGTACATCTGTATAATTTACAAAAACTATTAATACACTTTCAATTAATCTTCTTTCTGTAATAGCGGATACTTTCTTTGTATGTTCAGTTACTGAATCAATCCATTGCCAAAATTTAATGGCAAATCCAGAAGTATAAGGATTTCCAGACATAACTAAGAAAGCTGGTTTCGATACGAAAGAATTCGAACTAACATGATCCCATATGGTTATTGGTTGATTACCAGTCGTTTGCAGTGTTAAATTTATACTAGCCCTACAAAACTCTCCAGGACATGAACCTTCATTTTCTATAGATAGATAATGATGTGGTGTAGGCTGCCAATTGAATTTTTCATCATCAAATTTCAATGTTTTAAACATACGAAATACTCCTGGTTTCATTGCAAACTGCTTATATGACTCTGGTAACTTCATAGCATGAAGTAGCCCAACGAAGGTCATTGTTTTAATAACACCTGCAAAGTAAAGTAAATTAATATGAAGACGAGTAAAATATAATGTAATTTATGAGAATTATATATTGGTATACGTTAACTTAGAGAAATGGGAATAAATTCTTACTTTCCAAATATTTTTCTTATTCGAAATTTATTTATTGTATATAATTAATACTTACTTCTTTTGTTACTACCATTGCAAATATAAGACACAGTATCATTAGAAATAAGATTATATATATCAATTAATGAACAGTTTCCAGGCGAATATCTTCCTAACAGATGACCAGTCCTTCCCGATAAAAGAACAACATTCGGCATATTTTTTATTGCTACTTCTACGCTCAACAAATCTGCGACTCCGTCCGAATCAATATCTGGTAAAATCACGGGTAGTTTTTCAAATGTATGGATTTTTGAACTCCAATGTATAATGCCTGCTATAGGCTCGATACTAGCTAAAAGGCCTTGATCACCAGCAACTATACAGTCTGGTTTTCCAGACTGATCAGTATCAACTGAAATACAGTCTATTTCGGTAGGTGGTCTTTTCAATGAAACTAGCCATAATGGCACACCACTGTTTTCTTTCATTGACATAACACCCCCTCCGTCTGCTGATATTTGTCCTGGACTTTCATTCGTATCATTTCCTCTGTATTTTTGCCCACGAACAAGAAATATAAGATTAGTCGGTTTTTCTTCGATAATAGAGATAGGCCCATGTAATTCTAAAAATATAGAAACAAATATGTCTGTACCAAAATATATTGACTACTACTTATGTTAATTATAACAAAAATTTATATTAACCATAAAAGAAACACACAAAATATAAACAGATAACATATTTTTCCATACATACCTACTCCTCGTAAAGTTCTATGCCACGATATTGATGATTTAGGTTCAGAAATTGTAGGACAGACCATAGAATTATCACAAGGTAAAACATATAAAAATACAACTATTGTTACAATACATAGTAATATAGATGCGATCAAACAAAATCGTCGAAGAGGAGACATGTCTCGTGGTTTCCACAAGTCATTTTGATCATTTCCTTCAATTACCATTATTGGTATATCGTCTCTGTAATATTTAAGCATATTTTGCCCATTTTTTATTCGATTTGTTGTATTTTTTGTTTCATCCAAAGGATAATATATTCCATTCTCGTGTACTATTGTCGATTCCTATAACATTTTAAAATAAATCACATATTTTCTGTTGATTAAAGATACACTTTCTATTGCATAAGGAAATATTAAAACTACATATGAAAATAATAAGTATTACTTAAAAGAAATTATTATTATTATGTGATAGAATATTGGATTACAAAGTTTCATTAGAAGAAATTTTAAAACTTAGAAGAAAACAAAACTTGAATGATATATGCAGAAAGTAAGTTTATAAATATATCTAATAAGACAAATATAAATATGTAAATCTTTTCAAAAGGAGGTTTGATAAACATATTATTAAATAGCTTCTTGAAATCTCTTTCATGTATGTAATATAAATTTATTAATAATATTCAAATCCATGATAACATTTTATAACTCTTTAAACAATAATTTATTATTTCACATGTTGTTAGATACATTTTCATTAATATGATCTGATAAATGTTCATTGAATTTAAATATCATTTTTGGAATGGCCACGATAACAGTTTAGTAGCTATTATTTTTAAATGTTTAGTGCAACTATATGAAGTCATATATATCATATGTATATAAATGTATCTTTTTCTCATATATTTATTACCTTTACTTCTTGCCAACAAAGCATCACTATGAAGATATCTACTATCAGGTATTTGTTATAAGTCCAGGACAATATGTTTTGAAAATAATTGATTTTTATTTGTTTTCTCACCCTTCAATACCTTTGAAAAGTAAGGAGTCTTTTTACTTCTCTATCACTATCAACTGAGCTCGTAAAATTATAATTTTATGTAGCCTTCCTAATTATGAGAAACTTATATTTGTCAATTTTTATATAATTACAGCTTCCTCCATTTGTTCATTATAAATCTGTGACCATCCCATAACAAACAGTTCTAATACCTTTAACATTTAAATATATAAAATACAAAACATTGAAAGTTAGAAATAATATTTATTACAGTTTATCAACTTATTTTCTGCATAATGTGAAATGTTTTCAAATCACTTACAAAACTGTTCCCTACTAAGAATAAACTATAATTGACTAATTTGTTATTAGAAAGGATAACGAATTATTCGAAGAAAGAAGTATTTCGTTTCCATTCGAATTAGACTTAAAATTTAATCTTACCGCTAGTGCGTCGTCTGTATGTTCTTTGGGTGGTTCGTTTTGTTGAGCTAAACAATCTTCTTCATCTTCGGTGTCAGTATTGCTTATGCTTTGTGGCAAGGGTGCATAACCCTTACCACTGTGATGATCAGTCGACATATCAAATGAATTTTCTATGAAATATCACCGACTTTCAAAAAAACTCAACTCAATGTTTATGTAGGTATTTACATATATATTTATATCATGACCGTACACTGTCAACTGCAAAGTATTAATAGAGAGTGAACATAGTACAGAATCAAATATCACATTACAGCATACCAACAATTGTTCGATGCAACTATACTTTTATGTATACAGATAGATAGTTGTGCATTTAACAGTATTTTATATTTATACATCGGTTGTATATTTTGATTTTGCTCAAAAAAAGGTAGTTACCTGACGTTATAGCTATAATGTCAGGTAAGAAAAATATCATAAGGTTTTATTCACCAGAGATGATATTTTTGTTAGATGATTTGTGTTCCTCAAATAAGGTAACTATTTTGAGCGCCAACATTATATGATTTAACTGACTTCAAAGAATATTATTTTTCCGCTTCTAATATTTATTATTTTGAATCATTTGAACCTTTGCTTATAAACTGTGAATGATTTATGTGGACTATATCAAATAAGCTATAAATATTTTAAGTACAGTTTAAAGAATTGAGAAGAAACGAGAATTCGTTTTTTATTTTAAATATCCTTTTTCTATATTTTTGACAAATTATCAAGAATTTAGTTAAAAACATATTCTGATTTAATAAAATATGTCTAAGTTAAGTTATTGTTTGCATTTTATTTTTAATGAAATAAAGACAATATTAATTTTGAAAGGATGAAAAATTGAAACATCAAAAATAACATTTACAAGAATTTCCTTTATTC